AATGTCGTCGCATGGAAGTTGAAACTCCGATATTCTACTGAGGACGAGGATGGATAAAGATTCTCACCAACTTGGCAAGAGCTAGGCATAACCTCGAGAAAAGTGGTCCAGTTCACTCACGCCAACCACGTAAACCTCACACACTTTATAGCTTAGAGCCTTTGCAATAGGGGGAGTAACGCGGGTCGGCGAGATGGGGGTGGAGTGGGTGTGAACGTCCCTCTTGTCATTATTCTGCCATCTGCACGGCAGGCTCACCTCATTGAGATGTCGCCTGAGGACAATACACACCAGGCGTCGCTCCACTACTGTCCCGTATACAAAAATGGACCGGGGGACCCCGCTCCACTTACGATCCACTGTCCTTGAACCAGGCCGGACCGCGTGACAGGCGATCCGCTGACGGAACTTACCAAGGCTGAACGGCGACATGTCACGGAACGGGCGCACGATTAACGCTGGCAGGGATCCGTCCTTCAAAAACGAAAAGACGATGACGTTGACGGATCTAGTTGGCTGACGGTTCCACACCCACAGGCCCGGTTCGATTGGACACGAGCCGCCCACGAGGAGGATGCGGTCCACTTTGCAGTCCAATACACGGAGAAAGCAATAGAGATAAATGGATGATACTGGTCGGGAATCCGGAAAGATGTGAAATACATCGTCCGGACTTGCCCGGCCTGCGCGGCCAATAAAGCGCCGATACAGATGCCGCGTACAATAGTGCCTACCCGGGTAGAGCGCCCCTTTCAACGGGTCAGTATCGATACGACGGACATCAATGTGCCGAGAGGCACTGTTGATCAAGGAGAACTCAATGTTCTTCTTGTAGCCGTAGATCATTTTTCGAAATGGATCGAAGCATATCCAATGACCAGCCAGAACTCGCAAGAAGTAGCCTGGTACATTAATCGTTTTTTGTGCATGCACCTGGACGTAGAAGAGATACATATGGACAATAGATCCGAGTTCTAGGGGGAAGTAGAGCGACATCTTGTTAGGGCAGACGTTAGAATTTCATACTCCCCAGGGATCTGGCCTCAAGCCAACGGGCTCGTAGAGAATGCCAACCGAATGATCAAGATTGCACTTAGACGGAATATCACCGCTGATGATACCAGACCCTGACCTGTCATAGTCGACCACATTCTGGCCGTCTATCGGGCTACTCCCCATGGGAGCACCAGGGTGTCCCTGTTCCAACTGAGAACCAATAGCGTCCCCAGAGTGCAGTTGTCACCTCTATTGGGTACGAAAGTTAGAGTGACCCGGGCCCAGCACAAGGACAAGGCCCAACTTTATCTGGATCTGATGGCCCGGACCTATCCCACGTTAGCCCGAAGACGACAAAGGGACGTAGATATGACGCATCAACGGCAGATCCGGGACTATGAGAACTGACACGCGACAGCTCAGCCAATGCCCCGTTATAAAATCGGGACTTGGTGCAGGTACGGAAATCTGCGCGCTCCTCCAAGATCCACCCACGCTATACCGACATTTACGAAGTGACGGAAGTTGGCACAGGACACCACTCCGTGAAGCTGGTCCCCCGGCATAGCACGCAGGCCAGGTCACTTACGTGACACGCGGCGGCTCTTCGGCTGTTTCGGCCATCTCCGGGCTGCGACTCGACTCTTGCCTGGTCCGAGACTTCGTCCTCTCTCCCCCCCTCTCCTTCTTCGTCTTCATTCTCTTCCTGATCTGCCTCGTCCCTTGGTGCCGAGAGTTTTCGGGAGCAGGATGAGCCATCGTCAGCCGGAGCATAAGCCCCTCGAGCATTTCCAGACGCCGCTTGCAGATCACTTGTTGCGGCACCAATTCACTGAGGAAAGACAGTTGCGATACGACATTCAGCAAGTGAACGTGCCACCGCCCGGGGTTGCCGATCTGGCAGCATACTCGCTACTTTGCGATCGGCTGACGTATGAAGGGGTGTACATGGACGTGACGCAGTTGCCTGGGCGGGAGATGACTCGAGTGTTCATCGAGTTCCGCGCGCTCCAGGTGGCACCCAACTTCGTGCATAGCGTCGCCACCTTTCTCGGCGACTTGACGATMCTGCCACCGCCGAGTCGGGAGCTGGCGCGGAGTTTTGTGCGCGAGTACGCGGTGCAGGCGGCCAGATCAGTGGCCAGAGTGCAAGGACGGGGGGGACACCGGTTCACAGCCCACAAAACGCTGCTGTGCAGGGCAGAGGACGGACCAATCGCGTTGGTGCCGCAGATCCCCGCGCTTCTTCCTCCCGCTGGCCCTCTCAACATCCAAGCTATCCCCCCTGCCCCGTACTAAATGCCTCCCTTCTTCTCTTACACCACTCTCCCCTATCAACTCACGGAGGGCCCTTATCCCATGCGTGAGTTCTCGTAGTATTTGGTGGAGCTAACTGACGTGGAACCGCTGCCCTTCGCAGACGAAGACGCGTGGGAGTTGCACCGTGTGCTGTACCAGTCGGTGGCGTTGGGGATGTTCCGATTCTTCGTGGATCACGAAGACCATTGTATCGGGGAGCACTTCGTCGTCTACTACGTCATCACGCGGCCCAAGCCAGTGCAGAAGGAGGGGACGGTGGCGCTGTACCCATTCGCCCAGCTCCAGACGATCGATCCGCGATTGTTGGAGCTCATATATCTTGAGCTCCTATCCATTGCGCAAGTGATCGCGAGCGAGGAAGAGGAGATCCAACCACGATTGCGGACGGCGGCTGCCCCGCGGAGAACGTACAACGCGGTCGTCATCCCAGATTACATTGCGCAGTGCGCGGAGAGGTTGGAGGACTTCCCGGAGGAAAAGCCGTTGCGGCCTCCCTCGTCGTATCCCAGACCGGCGCCGCCAAAGGCCCCCAAGAAGACGCCGAAGAGGAAGAGACGCCACCCATCGCCAGGAGCGCAAGGCAGCAGAATCGGTGGAGGCGAGGAGGTGGTTCATCCCGTGCGCACGCGGAATCTTGACCCGGTGCCCGGGAGTGCGGCAACGCGAGTTAACGAGACCGTCGTTCCATCACCGCCCTTCCCGTGCGTGCCCGATCTCAATCTCGATGGAGCCGGGCCGTCATCCGCAGCAGCTGGAGGAGGGAGCTGAATGGGATTATCGGATCCCGTATCCAGATCCCCCGTCCTCGCGGGACCTTTCCGCTTCCACCCGCCACCCCGGAGTGCCCCGATCATTGACATTAGTAGTTCCTCCGAGCCGGACGGTCCATCCGACAGAGGTGGACTTCATGGTGGAGCCCACCACCATCAGGCTCGAGGCCATCGCGGGGGCGCCGCGCCCTGATCCGGCGTGGGAGCCATATCTGACACCCCCTTTTCAAGGGTGTATTGCGGCGCAACTGGCGGGGACGCTCATGTATGAGACCGGGCAGCGTCCCAATGTAGTGTATCACTTCCTTGTGTTCACGCTTTCCCGAGCTCTCACGTAATGCGGGGGCGCTGCCCGCGCAATTTCGAATTCGGATGCCGGCGAGTCCTCCCGCCGCTTCACCCTCTCGGAAACTTCCACGCAGACTTTGTGAGTCCGACGCCGAGGCCTGAAGGCCTCGAACCAACCACTTCTACAGCAAAAACCCGGCGGTCCGGTCACTTCATGAGGCCGATGACGAGGCCTGAAGGCTTTGAACCCACCACCTATCCCTCAAACCCATGACGGCCGGAGTTTCTGTCTTCCGCCGCCATGGCCCTCTCCCCTTGATGCTTTTTCCCGTCCTGATGCACGACGGCAGTTCGTTTTTGCGGAACCCTTCTGATTTTATCGCTCCAAAGTGACCCGACGGTCCCGACCCCCACGGGACTTCGCGACAACAGTTCGAATCCGGGATAACCTCTGGCACGAAACGAGAGCCTCCCGTTCCGTCCGGAAGACTCAACCCCTACGGCCAAAAATCCTCGGCCATGCCCCTCGTAGAACTCTGATCGGCGACCCAGTACAGGAAGCCGCGAGGGGGCGTGAGGTTGCGTATCACATGTTCGGTAGTGCCTCTCTCCCCGAGTTGTGTCTATCCCGCTTCTGGTGTTCGCGTGTGGCAAGAGTTTGCTCAGTTGCAGCGTGATGGGCCAAGTCAGTGACAGCCAGGGCTCGCTGGTGACCGCACTGTTCTTTAGGCCCCAACTGCAGCGGGGCCTGTTTGGTGTGAGCATATTCATTTTCCACCTGTTGTTCCAGGTCACCGACCGGGACTTGCATTTCAAGATCGGGTACAGATGCAGCCTGTTTGGACAGATCTGTGATGGTCGAGGCACGGTCGTTGTTGTACTGATTGTTGGCAGTAACTTGCTGTACCTTGTGGCCATGGGATGGTCCCGGATCTTGACTTCGTTCAGTCTGATGTGGGTGTGCTAGCTGACACTGCTGCTTCGTTTGTAGCCCCTGTGACGTTCCGGGATCACGGGCCTGTGGGAGTCGTTGTGCCAGTGGGGGGGTCAGCTGTTGCCGGTGAACCGCGGTGGGGGGGAGGAGTAACTGTTCCTTTCCCCGGGGCAGCGCCGGCTGTGCATGCAATTAAACCATTGGTTCTCGAGTCAAGGTGTGAGGTGGGAGCTGCTGCTCTCCCTCCCGGTGTTGCACTGGCTGTCCATGCGGTTGCACCAGTGCCTCTTTCAGTTTTCCCAACCAGTGCTCCACATAACCAGCCACTAGTTTAACCGGGGCTGCCTCAGTTGTCGGTGGCACAGACGTCGTGTTTATGTGGTCTGTAGTGGACTTCTTTCCCAGCGAGGGAGTCTGTGTTTTGTCTTGATCCTGTGGCATCGCCACTTGTCCCTGTACCCCGCCGGGGGGAGGGGGGCCCGTGGCTGCTGGTAATAACCCCAGTTTCGGATGCATGATAGGCGTTCCCCTGTGCCATCAGTTGGGTCTGAACTTGTGTGGCGGTGATTTGGGTGTACCGTTGGTGGTTGCTGTCCACTGTAGATTGCTGCTGCAGCAATGGGGTACATTTTGAGGGAGGCTGCATCTGCTGGTTATGTTGTGTGGTTGTGAGTTGATGGCCACTCACCTCTTTGGTCCAGCATCCTATCGTGGGTATCAGACTGGAAAGCAGGTCCAGTGTCCTCACAAGAAGAGATAGAAAACTGGCTGGAAAGCAGGTCCAGCGTTCCAATTTTAATGGATGTCCCGAAGGACTTTGATTTGAGGTTCGACAGCTGTCAGAATCAGAAATATTGAAAGTAGGCGGTCGCAGGTTACCCCCCCTTCGCGGCAGAGGCTTTCAAGGGGCCATGTTTCTTCTTCTTCTTCTTTTTTTTTGTTTTTGAAGTGGCCCGATGGACAACGGATCAGATATAAAAGTGAGAGTGATGAGAACAGATGCTACACGTGATGTTAGCCAAAAGGCAGAGGAAACAAAAAAGAGACTAGCTCAGTGTGTACACCCATGAATTGTTGAAAATACAGACCCGTGTTTGAATCCAGATGATGGAATGTGATGAGTAAGGGCCTCGCCACGACTGTAGAATCTCAAGAAGTACAAGGGCATGTTCCGGCCGCATGTGACCAGTTGCATCCGCTACTATGAATAGCAACGGATGCATCTTGCCACTTTCTGAGGAAGGTGCACTCGTACTTTCTCCATTTCGACAGTAGCTGGGGAGGCCCCCAAAGTTGTAAAAGCAACTAACTATTTCTGAATTACCTTGAAGATCTTACGGAAAAGAGACCAGAGACCAAGTACAGATCTGTAAGCTCAAGGAAGCCGAAACCGCCTAAAGGGGTTTCCCACCACGCACCCTTGGATCTTCAGTGACATTTCTGAATTACCTGGCCTGCCTGGGGCCAGTGAGCTCACAATGATGGGCCGTGGTTTTTCTTTGGTTCTTTTTTTATTTGTGTTTGTTTGGAGGGCTGCGCAGCACTGTGCCGCAGTGCAACACAGGCAAAGCTGGAAAGGTCGAGCAAGCAAGCTTACCCGTTTGACCCCTCCGTGGCCCCCCAAAAAATAATTTGATATAGTTGTGGCCCTATGGAGCACGGATCAGATATTAAACTGATCCCAACAGAGACTACACTTGATCTCACTCAGCCAAAAGGCAGAGAAAGGTATCCGGGCCCCGTGGACTCTGTCGAAACTCTTTGATATGATTTTCCACAGCTGTCAGAAAAAAATTGAAAGTAGGGGGTACACAGTTTAACCCCCCCCCTTCACCACACTGGCTGTCCAGGGGGGGGGATTTTGGTCATGGCAAAATGGACTCTGACATGGCAATGCAAATTCGAACGCAATTCTCGAAAGGTCCGTGGGGTGGGGCACTTTCGAGTTTCCATCTCCCGCAGGCAGGCGGGAGGAAACAAATGGGGGAGGGTGATGGGGGAGGGTGGCTGTCGAGCGTACCCTTCTGACAACTGTCGAGCCTACCATTCTGACAACAGTTGAATTTTCTTTGAGCCGCAATTCTTGGAAAGTCTGCCTGTGGCAATGCAAAATTGTCCTGTGTGGAGAGCCTCATAGACTTCGGGCCTCGCCACTCCACTGTCGAAAGGCAAAAAAAAATTAAAAAATGGACAGCTGTCGAAATAAATTTGACAGCCTCCCTTCGGCAGTTTGGCCCCCCCTTTAGCCACACAGCACTGTAGAGTGTAAAAACTTGTGAAAGCGAGATGGAAAAAGATGAAAGCGCCTGATGGAAAAGATGAAAGTGCCTGAGGGTACGACAAGCATTAGGGGGGACCCCACAGGACCACGGCAAACGGTTTCGGAAGTCTTCGACGCCAACGAAGATGATGAAACTGAGGGGACTTCTGAAACCAACGAAGATGATGAAACTGAGGGGACCCCACTGCCACGTCAGAGACGGTTACCCAAAAAGGATATTCCGGGGCGGTTTTCCTTTTTAGGAAGGGCGGTGCCTTGCAAGGCCATTCCAGGTCCCTTACTGGTGGTTGCAATGGAAGGGCTGCCGACTTCCGTCCTCATGCGCCGGAGTACGCACCCTGGAGGTAGGTAAACAGGCCAAGTATTGGAAAACTAGAATTAGGGCCACTTAGGAATAAAGGGGCCATGGACCAAGTGAAAACGGTTGCCCGTCGTCTTCTGCAACTTTTTTTTTTTTTTTTTTTTTTTTTTTTTTTTCTCCCATCCCACCACTCCTCTCTCTATATATCTCCTGCCGCACCCCCACTCCATTTCTATCTTACCTCATGCGAGGAACATCACTCTCTACTGGAGCAACCTGACCAGACAGCGGACACGGGCACCGGCGCTGAATGAGCTCCCCCATTCAGCTCCAGTTGAGGCACTACCGTACAAGCCTCGTTATACGGGAACCTCGGGAGCTAGGCACATAGTTCTCAGCTACTCCCGTGCGTAGTGAGGGCACTCATAGGCAGTGTCTAATGGTCAACTAACCAAGGTCTTAACCTATGGGCTCCTCTAAGCACTAACCTAGCACAGATCGGATCATATCTGTCTACTGTTAGTTGTTGAGTATGCTGGTTGTTATATGAGCTAATATGATATCATAGTCTATGTAGATGTGTGTGGTTGCTTTCTGCTTCTGATGAGCCTTGCTTATGTCTGTTCGCTAGGAAGAATCAACCAGTGGTAATGGTGGAGACCTCGACCGTCGTCTAACAACTACCCCCAACCTAGTACCTCAGTAATGGGTCCACCGACATTGAGAGTAGGACACACCTCATGATTCGACATTGGTTTCCCGACAAGGCAACCCTCCCCACCATAGGACTGCCACGGTATCACCATGCACCCAACCAACCCCTTGCTACTCACCTGCCCGAGAGAGTAGCATCCGTCCCACATCAACTTTCCCGCAGGAAAGGCACACGTCCCCACCCGAAACCATGTAAGAGGACCATCCCTTAGCTGATATGATGAATGAGCATAGTCGGAGTTGAACTCAGGACCTCCAAGTTAGTATATCAGAGCTCTACCCATTGAGTTATTGATGTCGTTAGTCTGTAAGGGCGCTATGCCAGGCTCGGGACAAGTATGTGGGGTGCAACCTATACCAAGTTGAACCACTTGTGCTCAGGGGAAGTTGTGGGCCGACAAAGTCAAACCCACAACCTCCCCGTTGCAACACCGGAGCTCTGCCCACTGAGCTACCACGTACTTGCTTACCAACTGACCGTCTCAAAGGTAAGACGCCACAGGCACTAT